ATCCTCAACCTTAACTCCATGGCCCAAATTTCCCCACTCCCACCCACCTATCGTAGTGCACTTAAGGACCAAAACTGGTACAATGCTATGTGTGATGAATTTAATGCTTTGATTAAAAACGAAACATGGGAATTAGTACCCCCTCCCCCTCACAAAATCTTATCACTGGCAAGTGGCTTTTTCGCCACAAATTTGGTCCTACAGGTGAACTGTCCAGGTACAAAGCTCGATAGGTGGTTCGCGGATTCAATCAGCGCTATGGAATCGACTACGACGAGACATTTAGTCCTGTTGTTAAACCAGCCACGGTACGGATTGTTCTCACTCTTGCTCTAGCTCGCGGCTGGCCGATCCATCAGCTAGATGTCAAGAATGCTTTTCTGAATGGTACACTCCACGAGACAGTCTATGCTTGCCAGCCCTCAGGTTTTCAGGATCCCGCACGCCCACATTATGTTTGCAGGTTGAAGAAGGCCCTATATGGCCTCAAGCAGGCCCCGCGCTCTTGGTATCACCGGTTTGCAGGCTTCCTTCTCACTTTGGGCTTCCGGGGCTGCAAAAGTGACACGTCCCTCTTTGTTTACTCTCATAGTTCTGACATGGTCTACTTTTGCTCTATGTGGACGACATTGTACTTACAGCCTCCTCCACTGCTCTTCTCACTCGCCTCACTCAGAAACTCAAGGGAGAGTTCGCCATGACAGATATGGGGGACCTCAATTTTTTCCTTGGGATTAATGTCCAGCGCACTGGCGGCGGCCTCTTTCTTCACTAGACGCAGTTTGCTCATGAAATCCTGGAACGTGCTGACATGCTCCACTGCAAGCCCATCTCCACGCTAGTCGACACCAAAGCAAAGCTGTCAGCCTCGTCCGGTACACCACTTTCGGACCCCACCACATTCACTCGGCTTGATCTTACATATGCAGTCCAGCAGCTCTGCCTACACTTCCATGCCCCCCGCAGCACCCATCTTACAACTATGAAGAGGGTTCTACGCTACATCCATGGCACTGCTACTCATGGCATCACCCTTCACCGTACGTGCTCAGATTCCTTGCAGGCCTACTCCGATGCTGATTGGGCTGGATGCCCCGACACTCGTTGCTCCACCTCGGGGTATTGTGTTTTCCTTAGAGACAACCTCATCTCATGGTCCTCCAAGCGCCAGGCCACCACCTCTCGCTCCAGTGCGGAGGCCGAGTATCGTGCTGTGGCAAACACCGTAGCTGAGGCAAGCTGGGTCCGAAATCTTCTTCTTGAGCTTCAGCAACCCCTGCGACGTGGTACACTGGTCTTTTGCGATAACGTCAGTGCCGTGTATCTATCATCAAACCCAGTACAGCATCAGCGCACCAAACACGTAGAAGTCGACATCTACTTTGTCAGAGACAAGGTTGCCCTAGGGCATGTCAGAGTACTACATGTCCCCTCCTCTTCCCAGTATGCAGACATTTTCACTAAAGGGCTTCCGTCTCTTCTCTTCTCCGACTTCAGACACAGTCTTGGCGTCCATCCTTCGCCGGTCACGTAATTGGGTGCATGTTAAATATGTTATGTATATATTTAATATTAATTATGTGATCATTGTATTTATGGTAGCTTACATGTATAGGTTCCCTTCCGTAATTAGGAATCTTCTGTAACTATTTATACGAGGCTTCGTCCTCCATTATTATTCAATAGAAAATAACAATTCTTCAGTCATTCACTAATTTCTCTTTCCATTGTACTCCGAATTACCCTTATATTATATTGTGGCTTACCTCTTAGGAGTTTTCTCCCCTTCTATTGTATTGTGGCTTACCTTTTTTTTAAACAAAATTTCTTGCTTTAATAAAATCTTTGTGGTGGTTTATAATTTTTCCGTCCTAAGACCAAAGTCACAAATTGACTTTATTTTCCCTTTAAATAATACAGAGTAGCATTTGTTACATTAAAACAACAAAATGAGAATATGTTTTAAAGTTAGTTCTATCCATGCAACGCAAGAATAAAATCTAGTATTCTAAAAGAAATCACCCAATATTGAAATACAAAGCATAGTCCGTATTCCCAAAATAAGACTATACTATAACAATGTGTCACTGTATGTTGTATTTCTCACTATTTTTTGGTATTATTATTGTATTTGGTCGAGGGGAAAATATTCTCCAAAAAAAATTGCTTCTATTTTTCTGCTTTTGATGACATTAGTGGAAGGAAAATATTTTCTCCCAATAGCGGAAGAATAATTTCTGTTAGAATTGGAAGGAAAAATTTTCATTCTCTCTTTGCCCCGTTCCCCATGCACGCCTCTCCCCCCACCTCCGTCCACCCTGCCCCCATCCCCTACCTTGGCTCCACACACACTACCACCTTCATTCACCCCACCCCGCCAGCCCCACTCCTCACCCTTCTACCTTATTATTTTTGTCGATACAAACATTTTTGTACTCGCTCCGTCTTCTTTAAAGTTTTCCGGATTGACATGGCACAAATTTTAATGTAATTTTAAAATTGCTTTAAATTTTTTTTCAACCACAACAAAATAATATTAACACATCAAAATATTAAGTCACACAGAACTCAAGCCTACTCCCAACACTACACTGTCCACCAGACTACAAAATCCAAGTACTCATAAAGTGCATGCCTTCTTCAGCTTATTATTAATAGAACATTTAAGATTAAACATGATTCAAGAGACACACTCATCCACTGTAACCTCCTCCTCCTTAAGCTGCACACTCATCTGTTCCTTCTTATGCTACGTTTATTAAGCTTATCATACAACTCATGCAAGCTGTTGGATTATATCTTACAACCCAAGGGTTCCAAAATCTTACAATACATAGTTTTGAAAAAATCCCAAAAGTAAATGGTTGATAGTAATATTAAGAAATCTATTTAGCCTCTTTTTAATTTGTATTTTGCTATTCAAGATCAGCAATATGTTGAATTGATGTTTGGGGATAGTTAGTATGTTCGTCACCAAATCAGCCGAATTAGTAAAAGGGACTTGACCCAGGAACCAGTGATAGCCTTCACTGGGTGTGTATTCGCCAATGATAGTCACCCTCTCAAACCTTTTCCTCACCTTTATCATTCTCCTCCAATAATAACAAGTGTTCTGTTTAAGGAAGTAGTCCCAAAAGTTTGAATCCTAAATATATCTATTATGGATCCATTGAACCCATCGATTGTCTTTTTTGTTAGAAAAGTCCCAATTTAGTTTCATCACAAGGAATCACTACTAGAAAAACGACCAAATAAATCCCCACATTTGCATCGCTAAGCAAAACAAACGATGTAAAAGCAAAATAAATTTCGCGTACCGCTTTGCATTTGCATCGATTATCCCTAATAACTGATGCAAAAGAGTATTTGCATCGGTTATTAGGGATAACTGATGCAAAAGCTGAAAACCTTTTGAATCGGTTATCCCTAATAACCGATGCAAATACTCTTTTGCATCGGTTATTAGGGATAACCGATTCAAAAGGGGCTGTTATATTCAGCCTCCAGGTTCTTATCCCTACGCGATTTTGAAAAAAACCTCCCCAAACCCTTCGCTGTATTTCTCGACGCCGTCATTGTGCCTTTGCCGTCGCCTCGCTCGTTGTCACTGTTCCTCGCTCGCCGTCGCTCCAAGCTTCACCGTACCTCGCTCGCCGTCGCTGTACCTCCTCACTCTTGCGTTCGCCTCAAACCTCCAAATCATGCCATTCTTGCCGTCCGGTCGTTGCCATCCCCCTTGCTCGTCGTCGTCATGCCTCCAAACCCTCGTCGCCATCTCTTCCGTCACCATGCCGTCGCCGTCACCGTGCTCCTCTACCCTCGCCGTACCTCCCTTCTCATTTTCTTAAGGTATTTTTTTAATATTTCACTTTAAAATTTTAATTATAGTATTATTTATTTAAATATTTTTATATGTATTAGGTGATTATTTTTTATTTCAAGTGGTAAATACAAATTTAAATTTATTCCAATGTATTTCCTTTAATTAGTATATATTTGAATTGCTTTTATGTTTATGTTTAAGTTGAAATGTGATATTGTGATATAGATTGCGTTTGAAATATAGATTGTTGAATTACTTTTTGTTTGATTCTACATGATCTCAGATGTTATAATATAGAAATAACTTATATTTACTGACCTAGATATCCGTTTAAAATTTACTCATTAGGAGTAAATTTTAAATATCTTCCAGGTTGGAGCTGTTCTTGAAAGTCTTCTCTCACTTAGGTAGTGAATGTATTTCTTTCTCTTTGTTCTATCATTTTTTGGTTTGACATTTCCTAAATGTGTTCTTCGGGTGCATATGTAATTACATTACATCGTGCACTTGGAAAACCATTGGGAAATACTGCCGAAATTTTGATAGGTCAAAGAAAATGAAATATATTTACTAGTGAGGATGGCATTTCAAGAATGGGTTAGGATGGTGTAAAGAAGGTCCATTTGTATAATGAAGAAGTGCTGCCAGATTTTTGTTACATCATAAGAAATAAAATATTGTGTTGGCTGCATTTCTTATATGTTTGTGTGTATATATAAAATGAGTGTTAATAATTTTGTTGTGCATTGTTTTGCATGTATCAATCATTTGCCCTTCTTTATTGCTTAGCAATTCATATGATGGATAGAAGTTGGATTCATATGTCGCGTACATCACCTAAGTTTAGTTCTGGTTTGGAAGAGTTTATTCGTTTCGCAGAGAAACATTCAAAAGAAGGAAAAAAGCTATATTTTCCTTGTAACTCATGCAAGGGTTTTCATTGTCACATGTGTAACTCATGTCACAACCATTTTATATTGATCATTTTCATTTAATTCATTGTTGTTTTACTTTTATTATACTTATGTTATCTAGATTATTTTGAATTTGTGCAGGTATGGCAGACGAACGGAAGAAGAAAAAGGTTAGAGGTGCAGGGAAGTGCGAGAAGCTGTATAAGAGGAAGAGGGAGGGTCAGCCACCTATAGAGCTTGAGTGGGAGCGTGGGGAGCCTGTACGTGGACCGTATGTTTCGGAGCTTTTAGGGCTTGTAGGGTTTGAGGTCCGATCGAGAGTGCCGATTACTTATAATAATTGGCATAAAGTCCCGCAAGACTGGAAGGTCACGGTACTAGACGGGGTTCGGGTAGGTACCACTTTATTTATCCAAATCTGTTAACTTTAATTGTTACATGGTTCTATATATAATAAATTGTTGCTTCATTCTCTTGTAGGATATATATGTGATACCTCCCGGTGGGGCCCAACATGTCATAACGGTTTCCGCGTTGAGACATCGCGCTTTCAAGACATATTTACGAGGAGCCTATTTGACGGAGGGTGGGGAGCATTACAGTAAGACTCCCATAGAGCCAGAGCATTGGGAGGTGTTTCAGATCCAAATGGGGACTCCGGAAGCTAGGGTAAACCATAATTACCTTCATTGAATGAAATTAATTGACATATTAATTTATTTTAAACAATTGTTGTAGGCTTTGAGCGAGAAGAACAGGGATATACAGAAGAAGAATCCCTATCCGCAATATATGGGCCGGGGTGGATATGCCATGCTTCAGCGTGAGTTGGCCGCTACTTCTCAGGTCACCACTTCTGCCGATATCACTGGTTGGTCTACCGAGACGGGTTCACAGCTTGGACGGGAGGACTCTTGGTTGCGAGGTCACACCCCGGGGAGGCAGGCAGAAGTTACGAACCCTGCACTAATGGAGATTCGTGATAGGATATTAAGCATATAATCTACAATTACATCAATTTATTTGTTTATTACTTGTTTATTATTTGCTTACAATTTCTTTACTTGTTTTCTTTCTTAACCGTAGGCCCAGCTGAAGAAAGAGGTCACAGCCGGTACCTTTGTTCCAGATGGGCACAATGATGTACTGACTAGAGCTTTAGGGACTGCCGAGCACCCGAGGCGGACGAGGGGTGTTGGGTCATATTCGGGCTTACGTAAAGTTTTCAAAGGTAACATGAAGCCTCGTAAGCCCGAAGGTAACTATATGATTGAGGAGGATCTTTTGTAGCGTCTTCCTTCCCTTCTACAGCAGTATGGAGTATCTGTGTCTAGTGGTGCTCCAGACTTTGCATCCATGTCGCAGCACACACCTTCTGTAGCACCTCCTTATCGACAGTGTAGTAGCAGGGCGTGTGCAGATTTTGTTGACTTCGCCGATCTCACTAATGTACATATATTTTTTAATTTAGGTTTCAAGTTCGGTTTACGTTTACTTGTTTCCGGCATTAGTTTACTAATTTTTTTGTAGGTTGATGCTTGTTACTTGAGGATCTCTGATCCAGCCGATTATATAGTGGCACATGGATCGGTTGTCCCACGTGCACCTGGAGTTGTGGTGCACGGTGTTCCCCTCCTTCCTCACCAGGTTAAGGTCTCTATGACCCTTGTGCTTCCTGGAATGGGTGAATATACCATTCCTTGTCCGACTGAGCATATAGAGACAGTCACCGATTGCGAGAGGAGCTTCGTAGCATGGCCAAAGTAGTTGGTGGGCCTTGGAGATGTAAGAAGTAAATAAATTTAGTTCTTTTTTATTCAAAATCATTTGGGCTGTGTTTCAAATATATTTTTTTGAAAATATTCGTAGCCCCCGTTGCACACGGCTCGACATGGCGACTTCTCATCAAGCAAATCCCGTCCTATTCTCGATGTACGCCCCACTGCTCTTCATAGCTCTCCCGTACAGGATGTTGTTGACCGGAGCTCATACGTCTCATTCGGGCCGAGGTGCAGAGAGTTGTGTCAGTGGCTGACACGCACATCAGATTTGCTTACCATCAGCGTCATTCTCGATCCCGAGTCTATGCTCTATCCAGAGGAGATGAAGCTGAGGATGCATTTAGAGAATATACATGAGTTCATGCGATGGGAGGAGGTCGATCAGACCATCATCATTGTTTTCTTGAGGTATGTCAAGCACTACGTACGAATAAATTACTATTGTAAATTATAATTATTTGTTATAATTGTAATTATTATTTACATGTGAAATTACTAGATTGTTGCACGATCATATGATGGAGCACGACATCACGTCTGTCGGGTTGTTATGTCCGGAGAACATGACATACGTGGTAGATTTTGGAGATCACCAGTATCTGGATATAGCACTCAAGACCTATCAATCGCGACCCTAGATACTTATGTCGTTGTATCTATCGATACCGTATGTTTTCTAAACCATTTCTAATATGTATTTCAGTTTTTTTTATTTTACATATAGTGACTAACGCTTTTTCAATTGTAGGCATCATTGGGTGTTAGTTGTAATATATTTGTTTGAAAACAAAGTATATTTCCTAAACTCAATCAAGGCGACCGGAGGGCATAAGAAAATGAAGGTGAAGACTTTCGTCAACGAGTAAATATTAAGAAATTTATTTCTTATTAATGAAATTCTTTATTTGTTAAGATATTAATTTCTTATTGACTTGTTTTTTACATATATTAAAGGTCTTAGCGGTTATTTCGGGAACGACACATGCCTTAGCTTAAGGCTGACCGGATTGGGTTGATGTTCCCGAAGTACCCCAACAAGTAGGGAACGTTGAGTGTGATTATTATACCATGCGATTTTGTTGGCTCATCGTCACTATGTGTGCACAATGTTCTTTACCGTTATCCGATGTAAGTTTATTTTAGTGTGTTTTTGAAAGTAATGAAGTGTTTATCATCATTTTCTTTTTCATAACTTATTAAACTTTATGTTGTATGTTGTTTTCGTATTGCAGGTGTTTCAGTCTACTTCGCCTTATACTAGAGCCGTATTAGAATATATTAGAGAGTTTTGGGCAAGGGGTTTTCTCGATGAACTAGTGTAAGTTTTGTATTGTAGTGTATAGTATTAGTTGTATGTTAGAAGAGTGTAGTTGTTTGACTCTTAGTTGTGGTGTTAAAACATAGTTTGTAAATGTTGATATTTTTTATAATGTACAAGTAGTGATGGATGCAAAGGTTTACTTTTTTGATTTAATTTGTTTTGTGGCATTTGGGTTTTGTGAATGTAAATGTGCTTGTTGGTTTGTAGTAGTTGTTGTGTTGATGGGTTGAATTCTTGTTGTTGTTGAACCTGTATATTTTGCACAGAATTATGTGCAAAATTAAATATATAGTGAATTGCAAGCAAACAAAATAAACCATTTAAAAAAAATATTCTTTTGCATCAGTCATTTGGTAATAACCGATGTTGTAACGCCCCGAAACCTGGCTTAGTATTTTAAATTAATATATATAAATTATTAATTACTGAGTTAGTCAATACGAAGATTATTTTCTAATTTTCATATTTAGTTTGAGAGTTGACCTACCTTGTAGAGCTCGCTGTTCTGACCGGCGACGTCTTCCAGTGACGCCACAGCGACTGGCAAACTGCGTCCCAAGGCAACCAGCGTCGGCGACCGCCCCCTCTCCTTCCCCAGTCGCGCAGTAGATTCGGTCGCAACAGGGAGTGTTTGATTCTTTAATTTCGAGGTGACCTGTGGTTTCTATACCTTTCGTTAGTGTTAACTCGTAGATTAGAACTTCCTTAGCGTATAATCTTGCGATTTGATTGAGAATTTGTGATTGTGGTGTTGAAATTAGGGAATTGGTGCTGTGAGGGGCTGTTTCCGTCGTCTCTTCTGGCGACGCGCCGGCGAGTTGGCCAGGGCTGGGCAGCAACATGGGGTTGACCTAATTGGATCCAATTGGGTCCAAACGGATTCAATCGGGTTCAATTAGGCTATTTAGGTTCAATTGGGTGCAATTTGTTGTGATTGGACTGTTTTGGTGTAGGATCGTTTTTTTTCTGGAACTTCCTAGTGGGTCACCCATCCTAGGACTACTCCCGTTCCAGCACGCTTAACCACAGAGTTCTAAAGTTAAAGAGGTGTCAAATGCTTCCTAAAACCAATTGGTGATAGGAAGGTGGACACTTTGTATTTAACCACATCTCTTTATAGCCCAAGCCAAGGTAGATTCCTATAGGGCACCCCTATAGTTCACTACGGCAGTGCGGAGCCCCACTACTGAGCGGTGGATGGACAGGAGGGGCTTCGCAAGATACACGACACGTGTACCTCGTCAGGTTGAGTTGTTAGTACCCGATACCGTGACTAGCACAGTAGCAAATCCCTAAGGGTGATCGATGGTCCCCCATAAGACCAACAATCTCCCCCCCAGCGGCACCCGGGGGATTCGAGCCTGCTTCCTCGCTGGGCTTCGCAAGATACACGACACGTGTACCTCGTCAGGTTGAGTTGTCAGTACCCGATACCGTAACTAGCACAGTAGCGAATCCCTAAGGGTGATCGATGGTCCCCCATAAGACCAACATTTGGGTTAACAGATGTACTGTTCGGGTTGCTGTGAACCACCCAACGGGGAGCTTTGGTCTGGTTTTGGGTTCGGGCAGTCGGGGGATCTACTGGTGGGGGTGCCAGGGTTCCTCAAGCAACGATGGGGACTGCTCCAGCGGGGGCAGCGGGCTCAAGGATTGATTCCTTGGTCTCGATTCCGCGCAGGTAAGTTGGGTTGATTGTAATTTTAGTTGTTTGATTGTGCATGACGGTAATCGTGGGTCTTCGGTGCGGATAGACCGCGACATGATTTGTTGGGAATTTGTGAAACAGTGTTAAATTAAATTAATCTTATTGGTGAATATTGTGGAATATGAATAATGTATGAGAAATAGGCCACCTAGTATAATTAGGCGGACCGGAATTTGGATTAACTAATTGAATCACCAATAGGATATGGTTAGGAAATTGGCCATTGCGGGGCGTCGTCGCACCCTCGGTGGTCTTGGGTTAAAAACGTACGTACAGAAGTCCGTGACCTGTCCTGGCATCGTAGGGACAGGGGCTTCAACCCGCCCAAAAGGAATCTCCTTTGGGTTTCTGAGCTAGCCCTTATATAGCATCGCTTGAGGTGCCATGACTCAAAGTTAGTTGATATGAAATGAAATAATGACAGGGTGTTCTAATTGAAGGTGCTAATATAAATATGTTTATTTAAGCTATTTTTCCGTGATCACATGTTGTTGTTAATTGTATGTTAATGTGGTGTTATTCTGTGAGTTAATGTTGGCTTAGGTATATTTTCACTCAACGTTTCGCTGAGCGTGTAGTCGTTGTTGTTTGACTGCACGCAGGTGGAAACACTTGTTTGGAAGGGCAACCCGGAGGGCACTGAAGTAGTGATGTGGCGTGAATGGCTCCCGTTTTACTTTAAGTAATTAAACTACATTATTTTATTTGATTATATGAGCTGTTGGACATTATTTTTGTTTTCTTATGCTTCCGCGACATTTGGATTTATTTAATTACTTCGATGAACTTTGGTTTAGTTTAAACTCTTACGGACAGATTATATAATTGACTTAATTATTTTTTTTAGCAAAGAAAATTTATGCATGCGAATACCAACTTAGTGACCACCCGGTTTGCTAACCCGTTGGTTCGCGTTACGCGAGATGGGGTGTTACAGATGCAAAAGCCTCTTCCCAAAAATAAGAAAGGTGCTTTTGCATCGGTTATTAATAAATAACCGATGCAAAAGCCTCTACCTAGAATTTGCGCCGAATCTGGGTAGAGGCTTTTGCATCGGTAATTTGGTAATAATCGATGCAAATGCATAAGCTTTTGCATCGGTTATTACCAAATAACCAATGCAAAAGCCTCTACCCAGAAATGGGAAAGGGGTTTTTGCATCGGTTATTACCAAATAACTGATGCAAAAGCCTCTACCCAGATTTAGCGCTAATTTTGGGTAAAAAGCTTTTGCATCGGTTTTTACAACTGATGCAAAAAGTTACCTGAGCATTTGCATCGCTGGCTTTTGCATCGGTTAAAAACCTATTTAAAAGGGTCAAAATAATCGATTTAAAAAGTCTTTTTTGTAGTAGTGAATATGTTCTAAGCATTAATATTTTTGAATCTCAAACCTCCATTGCCCTTAGATTTACGTGTATTTTCCCAATTAACAAGTAGAACACTTTAATAATGTTCGCCAGCCTCCTAAAGGTAGTTTCTCAATAAGGCTTGGACCCCATTTATTAGCTTGCAGGGAGTAACAACGATTCTGCCTCAAAATGCAATGATTCTAATCGGTACAGAATTAATCAATCTGGCTCTCCTTGCATATGATAAGTATTTAGTACTCCAGCTGGGGATCCTTGCCATTAGCTTCTCAATGAGCAAGTCATAGTCTGTGTTCGACATTCTATTAGTTGTGATTGGGCATCCTAAATATGTGAATGGAAGTTTACTTTTTACAAATTTAGTAATGCAAATAAGTCTTTGCTTTTCCCTGTGATTGATTCCGTCCATCACAATTTGGGGTTTACCATGGTTAATAGACAGTCTTGTTGTCCTTTTGAAGTGATTTAGATATTTCATGACACATTTTATGGACTTCTCATCTTATTTGTGTATAACTATCAAGTCATCAGTGAAACACAAATTGATAAGTCTAACATCCTTACACATATGATGATATTTGATCTTGTAATCTTCTACATATTGATTGAACACTCTAGTTAGATATTCCATTACCAGTACAAATAGAAGGGAGGAGATGTGGTCTGATTTCCCTAACCCTTTACCCCATATGAAAAAGCTCTTACACTCCCCATTAACACAAACATTGTATGAAGGTGTGGTTATGCAGAATGATACCAACTTAATAAACTCATTTGGGAACTTAAAGTATATCAGCATCTCTCTAATAGCTTTCGAGTTGATTGAGTCCTTGGCTTTTGCTATATCCAATTTAATCATGCTTCTAACTGACTTCTCTATTGTACCCTTTAGCTAACTCCTGGCATAACAATGCATTGTGCCGCAGTTCTTTACCTTCCACAAACACTCCCTGTTTGTGGCTAATAATATGTGGTAATACTTGCTTCATTCTATGCATAGGAGTTTTGAAATAACCTTATACATCACATTGCAACAAACAATGAGTCTATAGTCCTTTAATCCTTGAGGGTTTTCCATTTTAGGTATGGTTGTGGTTTTAGTATTATTTGTTTGCTTTAGGGCCACATCATCTCTGAAGAAGTCAAGAAGAGCTGTACTAAGCAGACTTCCAACTGTATCCCTTTCACCTTTAAAAAAATGACTTGTATAACCATCTTACTGTTGAGGAATTCAAACAATGTCTTCTTTATATTGTCCATGTGGAAAGGTGCAATCAAGGAAAATTGTTGTTCTAGTGAAAGGACATTGACTTTCTGTATTATCCCACAGTTGATATTCTCTATAACCATAGTTGAGCCAATATATTTTGGTAATGCTCAATAATCGCTTTAGACAAACCATCCGAGTCCTTAGCTGAATACCCATCATTATCTTTTATGGATATAATATTATTCTATATTTGCCTCTTATTAATCCAAGCATGAAACATTTTTGAATCTTGATCACCCCAGTTCCACTCCATCGTGGATTGCTGTTTCTTCATGAGGAATGCTGCCTTGAGTTTCAGATGATAATCCATTGTGAGTTGTGTTTCTTTATGTGACAATTCAAATTCATCTAGGTTTCTTTTTAGTTGCTTTTGAATATCTCAAAGCTCAACCCTAACCACTTCAACTTGTTTGTAGATCTGATGAAATTTATCTTTATTAAACTTTCTTAGGGAACCCTTCAAAGCTTTTAAGTGTTTGCAATAGTTGAAACATTGGTCTGCCTTGAGTATGCTTAGCCCACCCCGCTTTGAGAATAGATTGTAAATATGGATCAAGAGGCTACATATCAGAGTATTTAAACTCATTCTCTATCCTCTTACCTTAGTTATCGGGAATAAGTGAAGGGCAGTGGTCTGATATCTCTTTCTCTAGAATGATTATTTTAGTACCAAACATAGTGATCCATTCTACGTTGCTAAGTACTCTGTCTAATTTAGAGTAAATTCTATTCCCTTGGCCTTGCTTATTTGACCAAGTATAGAATGACCTAGTGAAAAAAGCCTCCTCTAATCCACAATCATCAAGGCATGCTACAAAATCTTTGGTCTCCTCCCTAGTGACACTACTTCCCCCAATTCTATCTTTCATATGTAACAACATTGAAGTCTCCTAAGACACTCCAAGCTCCCCTGATTATTGAAGAATATCTCCTAATAGAGGCCCACGTATCCTTCCTATTGCCAAGGTCATTACGTCCATAAATAAACATTATGTGAAAATCCTTTTTATTTTCTCTATTCAATACATAGCAAATCACTGTCTAATACATTGAATATACTATCCTCACACTACTACAAAAAAGACCTTTTAAATCGGTTATTTTGACCCTTTTAAATCGGTTTTGAACCGATGTAAAAGCCAGCGATGCAAATACTCAGGTTACTTTTTGCATCGGTTGTTAAAACCGACGCAAAAGCCCTCCCCAGAAATGGCGCCAATTCTGAGAAGAGGTTTTTTGAATCGGTTATTACTAAAAAACCGATGCAAAAGCTCCTCCCCAGAAATGGCACCATTTTTGGGAAGAAGCATTTGAATCGGTTATTTGGTAATAACCGATTCAAATGAGTAGACATTTGAATCGGTTATTACCAAATAACCGATTCAAATGCCCTTCTCTTGGAGGGGCTTTTGGATCGGTTATTTGGTTATAACCGATTCAAATGTCTAATCTTTTGAATCGGTTATTACCAAATAACCGATTCAAATATGCAAAATTTTCAAAAGGCCATTTTTGTTTGTTCCCGATCCACTCCATTTCAACTTTGCAGAGAACTCAACCCATCAACACAACAGTAACTAACATAAATGCATTCACAAAAGTCAAATGCCACAAAACAAATTTAACCAAAAAAGTAAACATTTACATCCACGCCACTTGTACATGTTAAAAAATATAAGAGTAAAACTACTACGTACTCTTCTAAGTTTTAACAACACAACTAAAAGCCAAATAACTACATTGTACTCTACTATAACTTACATTTAATTATACTATACAATTCAACACAAATGGAACTTACACAAGTTCATCGAAAAAACCCCCCGCCCAAAACTCTCTAATCTCCTCTAACTCGACTCTAGTATAAGGCATAATAGACTAAAATACCTGCAATAATACGAAAACAACATATGACATAAAGTTTAATAATCATTACCCTACACTTCATTACTTTCAAAAACACTAAAACAAACTTACATTGGATAACGGTACAGAACATTTTGCACACGTATTGACGATGAGCCAACAAAACTGCATGGTATAATAACCACACTCAACGTTCCCTTCTTGTTGGGGTATTCCGGGAACATCAACCCAATCCAGTCGAGCCTTAAGCTGAGGCATGTGCTATTCCCAAAGTAACTGCCAAGACCTTTAATATATATAAAAAAATTAATAAGAAATTAATATCTTAACAAATAAAAAATTTCATTAATAAGAAATAAGATTCTTAATACTCACTCGTTGACGAAAGTCTTCTCCTTCATTTTCTTATACCCTCCGGTTGACTTGATTGAGTTTAGGAAATACACTTTGTTTTCAAACAAACATATTACAACGAACACCCAATGTCGCCTACAATTGAAAAAGCGTTAGTCACTAACTTAAAATAAAAAACCAAAATACATATTGGAAATTATTTAGAAAACATACGGTGTCGATAGATACAACGGCATAAGTATCCAGGGTCGCAATTGATAGGTCTCGAGTGCTCTATCTAGATACTGGCGATCTCCATAATCTACCACGTATGCCATGTTCTCCGGACATAACAACCTGACAGACGCAATGCCCTGCTCCATCATATGATCGTGCAACAATCTAGTAATTTCACATGTAAACAATAATTACAATTATAAGAAATAATTATAATTATAATAGTAATTTATTCGTACGTAGTGCCTGACATACCTCAAGAAAACAATGATGATTGTTTGATCGACCTCCTCCCGTCACATGAACTCACGTATATTCTCCGGACGCATCCTCAGCTCCATCTCCTCCGGATAGAGCATGGACTCGGGATTGAGATTGACGCTGATGGTAGGCAAAGCAGATGTGCGTGTTAGCCACTGACACAACTCTCTGCACCTCAGCTCGAATGTGACGTATGAGCTCCAGTCAACAACATCCTGGACGGGAGAGCTAGGAGCAGTGGGAACGTACGCTGAGAATGGGACGAGGTTTGCTTGATGAGAAGTCGCCATGTCGAGCCATCTGTACCGGGGGCTACGAATATTTTCAAAAAAAATGATATATGAAACACAGCTCAAATGATGTTGAATAAAAAAGAACTAAATTTATTTACTTCTTACATCTCCAAGGCTCACCAATGACTTTGGCCATGCAACGAAGCTCCCCTCGCAATCAGCCACAGTCTCTATATGCTCAGTCGGACAAGGAATGGTATATTCACCCATTCCCGGAAGCATAAGGGTCACAGAGACCTTAACCTGGTGGGGAAGGTGGGGAACACCGTGCACCATATCTCCTGGTGCACGTGGAAAAACTGATCCATGTGCCACTATGTAATCCCCTGGATCAGAGATCCTCAAGTAACAAGCAGCAACCTACAAAACACAATTAGTGAACTAATGTCGGAAACAAGTAAATGTAAACTCAACTTCAAACTTTAATTACAAAATAAATGTACCTTAGTGACACCGGCGCAGTCAATAAAATCTCTAGACGCGTTGCTAATACGCTGCCCATAATGAGGTGCTACAGACGGTGTGTGCTGCGACATGGATGCCCCTTCTGGAGCACTCCCGGACACAGATAGTCCATACTGCTACAGAAGGGAAGGAAGACGCTGCAAAAGATCCTCCTCAGTCATATAGTTACCTTCGGGCTTACGAGGCTTCATGTTGCCTTTGAAAACTTTACGTAAGCCCGAATATGACCCAACACCCCTCGTCCGCCCTAGGTGCTCGGCAATCCCTAAAGCTCTAGTCAGTACATCATTGTGCCCATCTGGCACAAAGGTACCGGCTGCGACCTCTTTTTTCAGCTGGAATTCAATAATCTCTTCTGCAAATAAAGAAATGGCAAGCAAATAATAAACAGGTAATAAACAAATATATTGACATAATTGTAGATTATATGCTTACTATCCTATCACGAATCTCCATCAGTGCAGGGTCCGTAACTTCTGCCTGGCTCCCGGGGGTGTGACCTCGCAACCAAGAGTGCTCCCGTCCGAGCTGAGAACTCGTCTCGATAGATGAACCATTTTCTGTGAAACCATTTTAGAAATACCCGATTGTGCTCATTGGTCAACCACCTCTCAGTTTTCCCAGGGTTCTGTTGTCTTAAAAGAGACATGTGTTTCTCTAAATACAGACGAACATCATCTGTTTGTTGTAAAATATAGAGTTGTGCTAAACTGAACATTTCAGAGTCAAGATGAATGATGTGATGTCCTATTGTTCCTTTCCCTTCAGTTCTACCTTCATGCCGAGACTTTGGTACCCCAACCGTGCACTCCAAAGCCAAATACTCGCTACAGAATTCAATAATCTCTTCTGCCAAGTATCCTTCAACAATATTGCCCTCAGGTCTATACCGGTTCCTCACATATCTTTTCAAAATACCCATAAATCTCTCTAATGGATACATGTACCGAAGAAAAACAGGGCCACAAAGTTTAACTTCTCTCACCAAATGCATAACTAAATGGACCATGATATCAAAAAATGATGGAGGAAAGAACATCTCAAATTCACATTAGGTGACTACCACTTCCTCTTGTAACTGATCTAACGTTTCAGCATCAATGACCTTACTACAAATGGCATTAAAAAATAACAAAGTCTAGTTATTGCCCCCCTCACATTCGTTGGCAATATTGATCTAATTGCCCCTGGCAAGAAATGCTGAATTAAAACATGGCAATCGTGAGATTTAAGACCGTTCAATTTCAAATCCTTCATCAACACACGACTCTTAATGTTTCCAGCATACCCTTGTGGAACCTTTATCTCACGTAGACATTGGCAAAGAGTGATTTTTTCTTCTCTAGAAAGAGTGTAGCAAGCAGGAGGGAGAAATGTGCGATGTCCTTTTTCTTGCGGTCCAAGCTCAGTTCGAATGCCCATGTCTATTAAGTCTTTTCTGGCATTAACACTATCTTTAGTCTTGTCAGGAACATTTAGGAGGGTGCCAATAAGACTATCACATACATTTTTTTTTATATGCATCACATCAAGACAATGTCTCACAGATAAGCACTCCCAATAAGGTAGTTCCCAAAATATTGATCTCTTCTTTCAAATAGGACTGTTTGGATCAACTTTCTGTGTCTTACCAAATGTATGGTTTATGTTCTTCAACTTCTCATTCAATGCTTTGCCACTCAATACTTTCGGAGCAACCTCATTTTCTGCTTGACCATTGAAAGCTTTTCTCATGTGACGGTAAGGATGTTGACGTCTTAAAAGTCGGCGATGACCTAGGAAGACTGTTTTTTTTCATTCTTTAGCCACACACTAGAAGTATTCTCTTCACATATCGAACATGCATATTTTCCCTTAATCTTATAACTAGATAGGTTACCGTATGCTGGATAGTCATTGATTGTCCAAAGAATCATAGCACGTAACCTGAAACACTCTTGACGATAAGCATCAAATACTTTGACGCCATGAATCCACATTTCCTTCAAGTCATCAATCATTGGAGCTAAGAATACATCAATGTCATTACCCGGTTGTTTAGGCCCATGTATTAACAACGATAGCATGATGTACTTGCGCTTCATGCACAACTCTAGTGGAAGATTGTAAATGAAAAGCAGTACCGGCCAAGTACTATGTTGCGTACTCAAGCTTCCAAAAGGATTGATCCCGTCAGTACACAATCCCAATCGAAGGTTTTTCCCCTCGTTCCCAAACTCTGGAAATGTGTAGTCAATCGTCTTCCACTGTGGGGCATCGGCAGGATGACGCAGGGTGCCATTATCTTTTCGGTGCTCTGTGTGCCACACTAGATTCTTAGCGTCCTCTATCGAAGCAAACAAACGCTTGAACCTTGGTATTATTGGAAGGTACCACAAAACCTTAACCGGAGTCTTTTTGGTTTTTTTCATATTGTCCTTGTTATGAGTCATTTTGGTTGACTCCTTGTATCTTGGAGCAAAACACTTGGGACATTCGTTGAGATCCTCGAACTCATTTCGATATAAAATGCAATCATTAACACAAGCATGTTTCTTCTTGTAGCCCTCACCCATTGGAGACATCATTTTTTTCACCTCATAAGTGGACGATGGCAATTCATGTCCCTCTAGAAGAAGTTCACCCAACAAACTTAATAAAGAGTGAAACTTTTGTCACTCCACCCATTTGCTACTTTTAAATTGAACAATTCCAAAACCCCTTTCAAACGTGTAAACTTTGTACAACCAGGATACAACGGGTGTTTTGAGCTTCTTACTAAGCTCTCAAGCATATTACGCTCTTCATCAATGACAACTTGATTAGGAGGAACATCTTGAGTGGCCCGTAACTCATCTTCCATTTCAACCTCAAGATTGTGGATGTCTTGGTTATCATCCTCGACTTGTTCATTATGAGTATAGCTAGAGCGGCAAGGATTATCTAACTCTCCATGCCATTTCCATCGCAGGTATGTTGGGTCAAAACCCTTGCGATACACATGTAATCTTATATCTTTAACGTTATCAACCATAAAATGGTTGTGACATGAGTTACAAGGACAATATAGTTTTTTTCCTTATTTTGAATGTTTCTCTGTGAAACGAATAAACTCTTCCAAACCAAAACTAAACTCAAGTGATGTACGCGACATATGAATCCAACTTCTATCCATCATATGAATTGCTAAGCCAGAAAGAAGAGCAAATGATTGATACATGCTAAACAATGCACAACAAAATTATTAACACGTACTCATTTTATATATACACACAAACATATAAGAAATGCAGGCAACACAATATTTTATTTCTTATGATGGTCCGAGAGCACTTCTTCATTATCCGGTAGCACTTCTTCATTATATAAATGGTCCTTCTTTACACCATCCTAACCCATTCTTGAAATGCCACCCTCACTAGTAAATGTATTTCATTTTCTTTGACCTATCAAAATTTCGGCAGCATTTCCCAATGGTTCTCCAAGTGCACGATGTAACGTAATTACATATGCACCCGAAGAACACATTTTGAAAACGTCAAACCAAAAAATGACAGAACAAAGAGAAAGAAATACACTCACTACCTAAGTGAGAGAAACATTTTAAGAGTAGCTCCAAATTGGGAGCTATTTAAAATTTACTCCTAATGAGTAAATTTTAAACGGGTATCTACGTCGGTCAATATATGATATTTCTATATTATAACATCTCAGATCATGTAGAATCAAACAAAAAGTAGTTAAACAATCTATATTTCAAACGCAATCTATACAATGTCACATTTCAACTTAAACATAAACACAAAACCAATTCAAATATATAGTAAATTAAATATTAACCTAATCCAAAATGTATAAAAAAAATAATAGTATAATTAAATATTTAATGTTAAAAAAATTAAATAAAAATACCTTAGAGAAGACGACAAGGCACGACGAGGGAGACGACAACGGCGGGAGATGGCGACGGCGGATAAGGCGACGGCGAGGAGAGAACAACGGCGGGAAAGGGCGACGACTGGAGTGGAGGACGACGGCGAAGTGGAGGACGACGAGGAGTGGGAAGAGCGGCGACGGATGCAGTGGAGGACGGCGGAAAAGTGGAGGACGGCGAGTAGTGGGAAGAGTGGCGACGGCGAAATAGAGGACATGGAGGAATCAGAATGACACGGCGGCAGCGACGAAGCACAGACCTGGACGATGACGGAGGGTTTTTTTTTCAAAATCGGGAAAGGATAATGAATGGGAGGCTATGGAGACCAGCGTTTAAACAACGTTTTTTGAATCGGTTAAACGTAATAACCGATTCAAACGATTATTTGCATCGGTTATTACGTTTAACTGATTCAAATAATATTTAGCATTTGAATCGGTTAAACGTAATAACCGATGCAAATAATCATTTGAATCGGTTATTACGTTTAACTCATATAAATGATTACCGATACGCGAATTTTTTTTCATTTAAATCGTTTGTTTCGCGGACCGATGCAAATGTGATAATTATTTGGTCGTTTTTGTAGTAGTGTCATGTCATACCTCTGCATTCTCCAAACGACCCAAATCCTCCCATTAGGATGATTTTTATTATTTTGGGGCATTACAATTCCAAGTTTGTGTTAGAATAATAGACCAACGCTAGAGGGGGGTGAATAGTGTTTGATCAAGAAATCGCAGGAATAAAAAATGAATAAACGAGAAGTAAAGAGAAGAGTAAGAGGCACACCGATTTTACCCTGGTTCACCACAACTTGTGGCTAATCCAGCCTCCGGAGAGACTCTCCCGAGAGACTCTCTCGAGCTACACTACTTCCGTTAAGCTTACGGGTGCTTAACAAACCGTTACAACCTGAGAACTCGAGTCCCACGAGCCTCAACAACACTTGCTCGGAGATACCGCACTCCAAGACTTCAACCCGAAGGAAAGTACCTTTCCTTCGTACAACCAAGGGAAACAAACTTCCCTTAATGTCTATAGAAACTAAGAACACTCAAGAACAAGGCTCTCTCAAAAGAGTGAATATGAGTAAAGTAATACGCTCAAGATCACAACACGAACTTCACAAAAATGGCTCTCGAAAAGCTATGAATAATGTATGAATAATATGCAATGAACGAATAGGAGTTGTGAAGTAATGTGATATGTAAAACAGACTCAAACACCCCATTTTATAGTGGAAAAATAGGCTCCAACGGATCAAA